TTGGGGCCTTAAGAGGAGCCGGGCATTCGCCGCCCAGAACCAGCATGGCCCAGTAAGGCTCCCAGTGGCCTCCCAGTTGCATGGACCGGGAGGACGCATGGACTTGGCAGACAGCACCAGGCAAGTCCAACTTCTCTCTCTCACAAAACAAGCCTTTTGGGTTGGCATGGGCCAATTTTGGCCCTCTGGGGGGTTTGGACTCCAGCTCCCATCATTCCTAACCGCCTGCCGGCGGTTAGGAATGATGGGAGCTGTAGTCCAAACCCCGGCTGACCTGCGCTTGGCACCTGCCGGCCTTGATCCCTTCTTAGCCTCTACCTGCCTATTTCCGCACACCTGAGGCCACCACAGGCTTCCCTCTCCTCCCTTCCCTTTCTACTCCCTTCCTTCTTTCCTTTTTGCTCCCTTCTCTTCTTCCCTTTCCTTTCTTTCCTTTCCCTTTTCTTTCCTACTTTCTTTCCTTCTTTCTTTCCTTCCTTTTCCTCTTTCTTCCTTCTTTCTTTCCTTCTTCCTCCCTTCCCTTTCCCTTCTTCTTTTCTTTTTCTCCCTCCTCTTTCTTTCCTTCCCTTCCCTTTCTTTCCTCCTTCTTCCTTCCTTCCTTCTTCCTTCCTTCTCCTTCCTCCTTCCTTCCTTCCTGCCTTCCTTCTTTCCTTCCCTCCCTCCCTCCCTCCCTCCTTCCTTCCTTCTTTCCTTCCTTCCTTCTTTCCTTTCCTTTCTTTCTTTCTTTCCTTCCTTTTCTGTCCTCCCTTTTCTATCCTTCTTTCTTTCTTTCCTTCTTTCCTTCCCTTTTCTTTCTTTCCTTCCTTCCTTCCTTCCTTCCTTCCTTCCTTACTTCCTTCCTTCTCTTCCTTCCTTCCCTCCCTCCCTCCCTCCCTCCTTCCTTCCTTCCCTTTCTTTCTTTCCTTCCTTTTCTGTTCTCCCTTTTCTATCCTTCTTTCTTTCTTTCCTTCTTTCCTTCCCTTTTCTTTCTTTCCCTCCATCCTTCTCTTTCTGTCTTTCCCTTCTTTCCCCTCCTTCTTTTCTTTTTCCCTTCTCTCCCTTTCTTTCTTTTCCTTCTTCTTTCCTTCCTTTCCTTCCTCCCCTTTTCTTTCCTTCTTTCCTTCCCTTTCCCCTTTCTTTTCTTCTTTCTTTCTTTTTCTTTTCTTTCTTTCTTCCTTTTCTTCCTTCTTCTTTCCTTCCTTTCTTTCTTTTCTTCTTCTTTCTTTCTTTCTTTCTCTTTTCTTCCTTCCTTCTTCTTTTTCTTCCCTTCTTTCTTTCCTTCCCTTTTCTTTCCTTCTTTCTTCCCTTTTCTTTCTTCCCTTCTTTCCTCCCTTTTCTGTCCTTCTTTCCTTCCTTCCTTTTTTCTTCTTCCCCTTTCTTTATTTCCTTTTCTTTCCTTCCTTCCTTTTCTTCCCTTCTTTCTTTCCCTCCCTTTTCTTGCTTTCCTTCCTTTTCTTTCCTTCCTTCTTTCCTTTTTTCTTCCCTTCTTTCTTACCTTTCTTTCTTTCCTTCATTTCCTTTCTTTCTTTCCTCCCCTCCCCTCTCTTTTCTTTCTTTCTTTCTTTCTTTCTTTCTTTCTTTCTTTCTTTCTTTCTTTCTTTCTTTCTTTCTTTCCTCCCTTCCCTTCCCTTCCCTTCCCTTCTTTTCCTTTCTTTCCTTTCCTTCTTTCTTCCCCTTTCTTTCTTTCTTTCTTTCTTTCTTTCTTTCTTTCTTTCTTTCTTTCCTTCTTTCTTTCCCTTTTCTTTCATTCTGTTTTCCTTCCTTCCTTGCTTCTTCTTTCCTTCTTTCTTTCCTTCCCTTCTCTTTCTTCCATTCTCTTCTTTCCTTCCTCCACTTTTTGGTCCCTCCTTCCTTCCTTCCTTCCTTCCTTCCTTCCTTCCTGGATGTTCCTCGTCTCCTTCGCTGTCCATTAAATCCGACCGGGAACGTCCGCAGGAAACAAAAAGCCATTCTCATTCCCAAATTTCACTTCCCTCTCCCTTCCTTCCTTCCTTCCTTCCGGGTGGAAATTTCCACGGAGTCGGCTCAGTCTCGATCTCGGTAAGCTTGGCTGGAACCCGGTTCTTTTCTAAACGCTGTGGACTAGTAACTTAGGACCAAGTTTTGGAAACATGTTCGAATATGGGTTGGATTTGGCGTCTGTTTGAGTGAGTTTTGTATGGAAGGGACTCTGTCTTTGGAACTGTTTGACAGTGGAATAAATTGCTTTTGAGTCTCCTTCTACAGAGGTTGAGTGGCCATCTGTCGGGAGGGATCGAATGGTGTCTCGGGAGGGATCTAACGGCCCTTTGCGGGGATCTCTTCCAACTCTTTAAGTTACTGTGAATGTATTCAAGATGGAAGGGATAATGGTGGAGTCTTCTTCCTTCTCTGGACGTTTTTGAAGGAGAAGCTGGATGGCCATCTGTCGGGAGGGATCGAATGGTGTCTCAGAAGGGATCTTTTGGGGGCGGGGTCTCTTACAACTCTTTTAAGATTCTATGAACATATTCAGGATGGAACAAATAATAGTAGAGTCTCCTTCCTTCTCTGGACGTTGTTGAAGGGGTGTCTGGATGGCCATCTGTCAGGAGGGATCGAATGGTGTCTTGGGAGGGGTCTAACAGCCTTTTTTTGGGGGGTCTCTTCCAACTCTTGAAGTTTCTATGAACATATTCAAGATGGGACAGATAATGGTAGAGTCTCTTTCTCTTGGACATGTTCGTGGTTCCAATGGAGAGAGTAAGGAACACTGGGATGCCTGTGGTGGAGGAAAAACATAAGATCTAGGATGGAATTGTCCCTGAATGAAAGCCTTTTCTTGGGTGGTGGGCAGTGTGGTGTTTAGGGAGGACATTGGCAGGGCTCTTGGACATGTTTGTGGTGCCAATGGATAGAGTAAGGAACACTGGGATGCCTGTGGTGGAGGAAACACGGGAGATCTAGGATGGAATTGTCCCCGTATGAAAGCCTTCCCTTGGGTGGTGGGCAGTGTGGTGTTTAGGGAGGACATTGGCAGGGCTCTTGGACATGTTTATGGTGCCAATGGAGAGAGTAAGGAACACTGGGATGCCTATGGTGGAGGAAACACAGGAGATCTAGGATGGAATTGTCTCCGAATGAAAGCCTTCTCTTGGGTGGTGGGCAGTGTGGGGTTTCTAGAGGACATTGGCAAGGCTCTTGGACATGATCATGGTGCCAATGGAGAGAGTAAGGAACACTGGGATGTCTGTGGTGGAGGAAACGCATGAAATCTAGGATGGAATTGTCCCCGTATGAAAGCCTTCCCTTGGGTGGTGGGCAGTGTGGTTTTTGGGGAGGACATTGGCAGGGCTCTTGGAGATGTCCATGGTGCCAATGGAGAGAGTAAGGAACACTGGGATGTCTGTGGCGGAGGAAACACGTGAAATCTAGGATGGAATTGTCTTCCCTTGGGTGGTGGGCAGTGTGGTGTTGGTGGAGGACATTAGCAGGGACCTTGGATGTGTTCATAGTGCCAATGGAGAGAGTAAGGAACACTGGGATGTCTGTGTTGGAGGAAACACATAAGATCTAGGATGGAATTGTCCCCAGATGAATGCCTTCCCTTGGGTGGTGGGCAGTGTGGTGTTGGTAGAGGAGGCTCTTGGACATGTTCATGGTGCCAATGGAGAGAGTAAGGAACACTGGGATGTCTGTGGTTGAGGAAACGTCATTGGAGGGAGGACCTTGGGGGTCTCCTGAGTAGTGGGAGCTAAAGCTATTTGTGGAAGTGGGACCTTGTCTGTGGAAGTGGACACCCCAGCCACACACACACATACATATTTTCATTTTTATTATGTGTATAAATTATTATTATTATTATTAATATAGATAGATATCCATGGGATCTTTAGATTGCATCCATAAAGAGCAAACCAGAAGCCACTTTGGCAGCCAAGAGAGGCTTTTGTTGCTGTTGCTGTTGTTGTTGTTTTCACTGTATATAGATATTATTATTACTATTATTATTATTATTATTATTATTAATAATAATAATAATGAATCCATAGGATCTTTGGAATGCATCCGTAAGGAGCAAACTGATGACACTTTGGCAGCCAAGAGAGGCTGTTGTTGTTGTGGTTGTTGTTGTTGTTGTTTTCACTATATATATAATAATATATAATATAATATAATATAATATAATAATGTTGTTGTTGTTTTCACTATATAATAATAATAATAATAATATAGACATCCATGGTATCTTTAGATTGCATCCATAAAGAGCAAAACAGAAGCCACTTTGGCAGTCAAGAGAGCCTGTTGTTGTTGTTGTTGTTGTTTTCACTATATATAGATTATTATTATTATTATTATTAATAATAATAATAATATAGACATCCATGGGATCTTTGGAATGCATCCGTAAGGAGCAAACCGAATGACACTTTGGCAGCCAAGAGAGGCTTTTCTTCTTCTTGTTGTTGTTGCTTTCACCGTATATAGATTATTATTGTTAATATTATTATTAATAATAATAATAATATAGAAATCCATGAGATCTTGGGAATGCATCCATAAGGAGCAAACCAGAAGCCACTTTGGCAGCCAAGAGAGGCTTTTGTTGTTGTTGTTGTTGTTGTTGTTGTTTTCACTATATATAGATTATTATTATTATTATTATTATTATTATTATTATTATTATTAATATAGATAGACATCCATGGGATCTTTAGATTGCATCCATAAAGAGCAAAACAGAAGTCACTAATAATAATATAGACATCCATGGGATCTTTGGAATGCATCCGTAAAGAACAAACCAGAAGCCACTTTGTTGTTGTTGTTGTTGTTGTTTTCACCATATATAGATTAATAATAATAATAATAATAATAATAATAATAATAATAATAATAATCACCGTATATCACTTTGGCTTTTCTTCCTAGTTTCTTTCTAAGTGAGATGTGTGTGATTGAAATACTACTACTACTACTACTACTACTACTACTAATAATAATAATAATAATAATAATAATTAATAATTTTGTTAACGAGCCTTCCTTCCTCCCTGCAGGCACCAAGTCCTTCAACATGATGTCCCCGACGGGCGACAACGCGGAGCTTCTGGCCGAGATCAAGGCCGGGAAGAGCCTGAAGCCCACCCCGCAGAGCAAGGGCTTCACCACCGTCTTCTCCGGATGCGGGCAGGCCGGCTCCGGCGTAAGGCTCTCCGGCTGATTTTGGGGCGGGGGGGGGTGCCCTCGGCTAGTGGTCAGTCCCCACAAAGGATGGCCACTCCCCTTTGGGTCTTTCCTGCATCCATTCCTCCCCTCTCTGTCCTCTCATCTTTCTCCTTCCTTCCTTCCCTCCTTCCTACCAATCTACCTACCTTCCTCCTTCCTTCCTTCCTTCCTACCTTCCGTCCTACCTACCAACCAACCTACCTCTCTCCTTCCTTCCTTCCTTCCTTCCTTCCTTCCTTCCTTCCTTCCTTCCTTCCTTCCTTCCTTCCTATCTACCAACCTACCATCCTACCTACCTACCAACCTACCTCTCTCCTTCCTTCCTTCCTTCCTTCCTTCCTTCCTTCCTTCCTTCCTTCCTTCCTATCTACCAACCTACCATCCTACCTACCTACCAACCTACCTCTCTCCTTCCTTCCTTCCTTCCTTCCTTCCTTCCTTCCTTCCTTCCTACCTACCTTCCTACCTACGTACCTACCAACCTACCTACTTCCTTCCTACCTTCCTTCCTACCTACCTTCCAACCAACCTACCTACCTATCAACCTACCTCTCTCCCTCCCTCCTTCCTTCCTTCCTACATACCTACCTACCGTCCTACCTACCTACCAACCTACCTCTCTCCTTCCTTCCTTCCTTCCTTCCTTCCTACCTACGTACCTACCAACCTACCTACTTCCTTCCTACCTACCTTCCAACCAACCTACCTACCTACCAACCTACCTCTCTCCCTCCCTCCTTCCTTCCTTCCTTCCTTCCTTCCTACCAACCTACCTCTCTCCTTCCTTCCTTCCTTCCTTCCTTCCTTCCTTCCTTCCTACCTTCCTACCTACGTACCCACCAACCTACCTACTTCCTTCCTACCTACCTACCTACCGTCCTACCTACCTACCTACCTACCAACCTACCTCTCTCCCTCCTTCCTTCCTTCCTACATACCTACCTACCATCCTACCTACCTACCAACCTATCTCTCTCCTTCCTTCCTTCCTACCTTCCTACCTACATACCTACCAACCTACCTACTTCCTTCCTTCCTACCTACCTTCCAACCAACCTATCTACCTACCAACCTACCTCTCTCTCTCCCTCCTTCCTTCCTTCCTACCTTCCTACCTACGTACCTACCAACCTACCTACTTCCTTCCTACCTACCTTCCAACCAACCTACCTACCTACCAACCTACCTCTCTCCCTCCCTCCTTCCTTCCTTCCTACATACCTACCTACTGTCCTACTTACCTACCAACCTACCTCTCTCCTTCCTTCCTTCCTACCTTCCTACCTACGTACCTACCAACCTACCTACTTCCTTCCTACCTACCTTCCAACCAACCTACCTACCTACCAACCTACCTCTCTCCCTCCCTCCTTCCTTCCTTCCTTCCTTCCTTTCTACCTACCTACCGTCCTACCTACCTACCAACCTACCTCTCTCCTTCCTTCCTTCCTTCCTTCCTTCCTACCTACGTACCTACCAACCTACCTACTTCCTTCCTACCTACCTTCCAACCAACCTACCTACCTACCAACCTACCTCTCTCCCTCCCTCCTTCCTTCCTTCCTTCCTATCTACCAACCTACCGTCCTACCTACCTACCAACCTACCTCTCTCCTTCCTTCCTTCCTTCCTACCTACCTTCCTACCTACCTACCTACCGTCCTACCTACCTACCAACCTACCTCTCTTCCCCTTCCTACCTACCTTCCAACCAACCTACCTACCTACCAACCTACCTCTCTCCCTCCCTCCTTCCTTCCTTCCTTCCTATCTACCTACCTACCGTCCTACCTACCTACCAACCTACCTCTCTCCTTCCTTCCTTCCTTCCTACCTTCCTACCTACGTACCTACCAACCTACCTACTTCCTTCCTTCCTACCTACCTTCCAACCAACCTACCTCTCTCCCTCCTTCCTTCCTTCCTTCCTTCCTTCCTTCCTACGTACCTACCTACCATCCTACCTACCTACCAACCTACCTCTCTCCTTCCTTCCTACCTACCTACCTACCTACCAACCTTCCTCCTTCCTTCCTACCTTCCAACCAACCTACCTACCTACCAACCTACCTCTCTCCCTCCCTCCTTCCTTCCATCCTTCCTTCCTTCCTACCTACCTACCTACCTTCCTCCTTCCTTCCTTCCATCCTTCCTTCCTTCCTTCCTTCCTACCTACCGTCCTACCTACCTACTTACCAACCAACCTACCTCTCTCCCTCCCTCCTTCCTTCCTTCCTACCTACCTACCTACCTACCTACCTTCCTCCTTCTTTCTGTCCTTCCTTCCTTCCCTCCTTTCTACCTTCTGTCCTTCCTTCCTTCCTTCCTTCCTTCCTTCCTTCTTTCTTTCTTTCTTTCTGTCCTTCCTGCCTTCCGTCCTTCCTTCCTTCCTTCCTTCCTTCCTTCCTACCTTCCTTCCTACCTACCTTCCAACCAACCTACCTACCTATCAACCTACCTCTCTCCCTCCCTCCTTCCTTCCTTCCTACATACCTACCTACCGTCCTACCTACCTACCAACCTACCTCTCTCCTTCCTTCCTTCCTTCCTCCTTCCTCCTTCCTTCCTACCTACCAACCTACCTACTTCCCTCCTTCCCTCCATCCATCCGTCCTTCCTTCCTTCTTTCCTTCCTTCCTACCTACCTACCTTCCTACTTACTTTCCTCCTTCATTCCGTCCTTCCTTTCTTCCTACCTACCTACCAACCTACCTACCTCCCTCCTTCCTTCCATCCATCCTTCTTTCCTTCCTTCCTACCTACCTACCTACCTTCTTCCTTCCTTCCTTCCTACCTACCTACCCACCAACCTACCTACCCACCTACCTTCTTCCTTCCTACCTTCCTCCTTCCTTCCTACCTTCCTTCCTACCTACCTACCTCCTTCCTTCCGTCCTTCCTTCCTTCCTACCTACCTACCGTCCTACCTACCTACCTACCAACCTCCCTCCCTCCCTGCTTTCTTCCCTCCGTCCATTTGTCCTTCCTTCCTTCTTTCCTTCCTACCTTCCTTCCTTCCTACCTACCTACCAACCTATCTACCTTCCTCCTTCCTTACTTCCATCATTCCATATTTCCTTCCTTCTTTCCTTCCTTCCTACCTACCTACCTTCCTACCTACCAACCTACCTACCTACCTTCCTCCTTCCTTCCTTCCTTCCTTCCTTCCTTCCTACCTTCCTTCCTTCCTTACTACCTACCTACCTACCAACCTACCTACCTTCCTCCTTCCTTCCTTCCATCATTCCATCTTTCCTTCCTTCTTTCCTTCCTTCCTACCTACCTACCTTTCTACCTACCTATTCTCATATTGTGTCAGCTTTTGCACTTGCTTCTTGTCAATTTTGCATTATTATTATTATTATTATTATTATTATTATTTGATACATAACAAGATGAGTACACAGTGCAATTCGTTCTTCCAATCGTCATATTGCGTCAGCTTTTCCACTTGCTTCTCGTCAATTTTGCAATATTATCATTAATATTAGTATTTGATACATAACAAGATGAGTTCACAGCAAACAAGATCACTACATCGGCTTTGGTATTGGACACTTCCGAAGTAATCGTGCCAGAATTTTTGAAGTTTGTTCTTCCAATCGTCATATTGCTTCAGCTTTTCCACTTGCTTCTCGTCAATTTTGCATTATTATTATTATTATTATTATTATTATTATTATTATTTTATACATAACAAGATGAGTATACAGCAAACAAGATCGCTACACCAGCTTTGGTATCGGATGACACGCTGGACGCTCCCGAAGTAATCGTTGTGCCAGAATTTTTGCAGTTTGTTCTTCCAATCGTCATATTGCATCAGCTTTTCCACTTGCTTCTCGTCAATTTTTCCAATATTATTATTAGTATTAGTATTTGATACGTAACAAGATGAGTACACAGCAAACAAGATCACTATGCTGGCTTTGGTATCGGATGACATGTCGGACACTTCCCAAGTAATCGTTATGCCAGAATTTTTGCAGTTTGTTCTTCTAGTTGTCATATTGCATCAGCTTTTCCATTGCTTCTCGTCAATTTTACAATATTATTATTATTATTATTATTATTATTATTATTTGATACATAACAAGTACACAGTGCAGTTCGTTCTTTCAATCCTCATATTGTGTTTTTGCACTTGTTTCTTGTCAATTTTGCATTATTATTATTATTATTATTATTATTATTTGATACATAACAAGATGAGTACACAGAGCAGTTCGTTCTTCCAATCGTCATATTGTGTCAGCTTTTTCACTTGCTGCTCCTTCTTCCAATCGTCATATTGTGTCAGCTTTTCACTTGCTGCTCCTTCTTCCAATTGTCGTATTGTGTCAGCTTTCTTCCTTATCTCGTTTTGCAGGCGGAGACCCCCGGCTCCTGCCCGCCCTCCCCGCCGCCCACCCGGAGCCCCTCTCCCCCTTGCAGCCCAGAGGCCCGCCCGGCCACAGCCCCCTCCCCTTCCTCCTCCTCCCCTCCTGAGCCCGTGGTCAACGGCTCTTCCTCCTCCCCGTCCTCGTCCTCCCTGCCGGCCAGCCAGGTGGACATCGAGGGCCTCATCCCCACCCACGACGAGCAGGGCCGGCCCATCCCTGAGTGGAAGCGGCAGGTCATGGTCCGCAAGCTCCAGGTCAAGATCCAGGAGGAAGAGGAGCAGCGGCGCAAGGTGAGCCCAGACGGGGTCCGCGGAGCGGGGGGGGGGGGTCGCCTGTGTTTGCCGTGGAGACACGCAACCACCACATTTCACCACCAAAACACCGTATTCCACAGCCGTTTCGCCCAGGAACGCTGGGATCTGCATCTTTATTCGTTCCGTCCTTTCCTTTCCCTACTTATTTCCTCTTTCTCTCATTTCCTTCCTTTTTTCCTCCTCTCCTCTTCTTCCTTTTTCTCTCCTCTCCTCCCTTTCCTCTCTCACTCCTTCTTTTCCTCCCATTTCCAACCTTCTTCTCTTCCTTTTTTCCTTCTCTCCATCCTTTCCTCTTTCCCTCCCTCGTTTTCCTCCCTTCATTATTTTCTCCCCTCCCTTCTTTCTTTTTTCTCTCTCCTTCCCTCCCTTTCCTCTCTCGCTTCTTCTTCTCCTCCCATTTCCTTCCTTCTCCTCTTCCTTTTTTCCTTCTCTCCTTCCTTTCCTCTTTCCCTCCCTCTATTTCATCCCTTCATTATTTTCTTCCCTTCCTTCTTTCTTTTTTCTCTCCTCCCCTCCCTTTCCTCTCTCGCTCCTTCTTTCCCTCCCATTTCCTTCCTTCTCCTTTTCCTTTTTTCCTCCTCTCCATCCTTTCCACTCTCCCTCCCTCGTTTTCCTCCCTTCCTTCTTTCCTCCCCTTCTTTCTTGATTTTCTCTCCTCTCTTCCCTTTCCTCTCTAGCTCCTTCTTTTCCTCCCATTTCCCTTCTTTCTCCTCTTCCTTCTTTCCTCCTCCTCTCCCTTCCTCTCCTTTCCTCCTCTCCTCTCTTTTTCCTCCCTTCATTCCCTCCTCTCCTTCCTTCATTCTCTTTTTCTCTCCGCTGCTCTCTTTCCTCTCTCCTCCTCCCTCTTTTTCAATCACCTTTCCTTCCTTCCCCTTCTTCTCCCCTTCCTTCTTCCCTCCTTTTCTTTTTATCTTTTGCCTTTTTTCCTCTCCTTCCTTTCCTTTCTCCCTCTTTTCCCCCCATTTCCTTCCTCCCTCCTTTTCTCTCCATCCCTTCTCCTCCCCTTCTTTCTTTCTTTATCTCTCTTCTCCTTCTCTTCCTCTCTTCCTTCCTCTTTTTCTCTCATGTTTCCTTCTCTCTTTCTTTCCTCCCTCCTTTCCTCTCTATCCCTTCTCTCCTCTCCTTTTCTTCCTCTCTCCCTCCCTCTTTTTCCTCCCTTCATTCTCTCCTCCACTTCCTTCTTTCTCTTTCTCTCTCCTTCCTTCCCTCCTTCATCCTTCTCCTCTTCCTTCTTTTCTCCTCCTCTTCTTTCATTTCCTCTTCTTATCATCCTTTTCTCTCCTTAGACAAACCAGTCGTCTCCAACAACTTGCTTATTTTATCACACTGACTTAGCAACATTCCATGCTCAGTCCTGACTACACTTAAGCCCAAATATTTGCTGACATTTCCTAAATCTTTGATACGCAACTTTTTACTCAGACTTTTATGAACTTCATCAAAACATCATGATTCTTTGCTAACACAAGTACATCGTCTACGAACACAACCAATATCACCTGTTCCTTACCAGAACCACGTGTATAGAAACACGCATCTTGAGAACTTCTTACAAAACCTAAACCAAACAACAAACCATGCAAATGTTGGTTCCAGTTTCTGGCTGACTGCTTCAATCCATACAAAGCCTTATTCAATCTGTATATCCCAGTAGGAGCATCCTCCTCAAAATCTCATCCAAGTTCGCATTTAGATATGCAGTTTCAACATCAAAATGTATTACCACCAACTGTTTGGCACAGGCCACTGACAAAACCAACCTGAGTGTCTCACACTTGACCGTAGAAGCAAACACTTCATCAAAATCTTCAAACAACTTTTGTTGAAAACCCTTTGCAATAAGTCTAGCCTTGTAAACAAAACTACCATCTTCCCCTACCTTTCCACGAAAAACCCATCTACAGCCAATCACATTGCTGTCTTTCAGTGGCTCCACCACTGACATCACGTCAAGTCTTTTTAACGAACTAAACTCCTTCTTCATTGTTATTTTCCACAACTCTTGCTCACTTGGAGACCTTTCCTTCCGCCTTTTCTCTTCTCTCCTCTCCTTCCTTCTTTGACTTCCAGATCACCATTTCGACTCTTCTCACAATAGGGCAAAGGTTTTCTCTGTCTTGGGAAGTACAGGTTTTTCCCCCGAAGGATGGATTCTATTGTAACTACATTGGATTCACAAACAACTTATAGTTACATGGCTAACAAACAAACAAAAGAAAAGAATTCCATTTTGACTCACAATTCGCACATCCATCCTCATCCATACCAGTATTACCACATCCTTTTCTCCCTCCTTGGAGCCCACCAACACGGACTTTATTGCAGTTTACTCTGGCAGTTCTCATTAGCAACTTTTAATTATAGTTCTTTTAGAGGAAAGGAGATTCCACCTCAATATTAGGAAGAACTTCCTGTCTGTGAGACCTGTTCAGCAGTGGAACTCTCTCATGAACCCTTATCACAGTTTACTCTGGCAGTTCTCATTAGCAACTTTTAATTATAGTTCCAGCAAGCAGGTAGTTAGTCATTGCAGGCCTTAATCTTTTAGAGGAAAGGAGATTCCACCTGAACATTAGGAAGAACTTCCTGTCTCTGAGACCTGTTCAGCAGTGGAACTCTTTCATGAACCCTTATCAGTTTACTCTGGCAGTTCTCATTAGCAACTTTTAATTACAGTTCTAGCAAGAAGGTAGTTAAGTCATTGCAGGCCTTAATCTTTTAGAGGAAAGGAGATTCCACCTGAACATTAGGAAGAACTTCCTGTCTGTGAGACCTGTTCAGCAGTGGAACTCTCTCATGAACCTGCATGAAGAGCTAGAGCTGACAGAGGGAGCTCATCCGCTCTCCCCCCCCAGATTCGAACCTCCGACCTGTTGGTCTTCAGTCCTGCTGGCACAGGGGTTTAACCCATTGCACTACTGGGGGCTCCTGTAAATTAATGATAGATGTCTTCCATCCTGGTTCCATCTCAGTTTCCCGGACAGATGTTGACTCTTCTTGATTGGTGCTCGCCTTGTGTTGACTTCCTTCTCAACATAAACATTTCCTTAGCTTAACGGAACCATTGTCTCTGATAAACAGATGTAAACATTTCTCTTATCGCTGCCAAAGTTCTTATTACAGTTTATTCTGGCAGTTCTCATTAGCAACTTTTAATTATAGTTCAGTCCAGCCGGCACAAGGGTTTAACCCATTGCACCACCGGGGGCTCCTCTAAATTAATGCTAGACGTCTTCCATCTCCATCCTGGCTCCATCTCAGTTTCCCGGACAGATGTTGACTCTCCTTGATTGGTGTTAGCCTTGTGTTGACTTCCTTCTCAACATAATCACTTCCTGAATTTAATAAACAGATGCAAACATTTCTCTTATCGCTATCACAGTTCTTATCACAGTTTACTCTGGCAGTTCTCATTAGCAACTTTTAATTATAGTTCAGTCCAGCCAGCACAAGGGTTTAACCCATTGCGCGACCGGGGATTCCTGTAAATTAATGCTAGATGTCTTCAATCTCCATCCTGGCTCCATCTCAGTTTCCCGGACAGATGTGGACTCTCCTTGATCGAACTTCTTGAACTTTTAATTACAGTTCCAGCAAGCGGGTAGTTAGTCATTGCAGGCCTTTTAGAATGGTGTCCCCAAAATTACAAGCTCTTGTTCATTCCTTCATTCAAACCCACACATATCAAATCCACATTTATATTTCTTGTGACGAGTTCTTTCGTGTGTGCGTGTGCACTTTGTGTTTCCTTTGTGGAAAGACGAGTTTGCATGTGTGTGTTTGCGGTGTCGTGGGCATGGCTCTGCCCGCTCTGCCTCGGGGTGGACTGCAATGCATTTAACCTGCAGTATTTGCCCAATGGCATCCCGGATAGACACGGAGGAAGAGGAGAAGACTGTGGTGGTGCCCTTGTCCTGATGCATTGGGTCCAAATTGGGAGCGTTTCTGGTTTCCAAAGGCATATCAGAGTACTAATAACGCCCGCCACGCCACCGTATGTTTGCCACCAGTGAGATACTGCAGCGTTAAATGCCTTACATGCCCGCCCGCTGGTGTAATGCGTGAACGTGCCCGGCAGCAGCATTTATTATTTTTTTAATATATTTTTTTGCGAGTGCCGTGCTTTTTTTCATGCGAAATCTCTCCTTTTCTCTACCACCCGTGTTCTCTTTCTCCAAAATGACCCGTCCGAGCGTCCGCTCTTAACGTGATGTTTGCCTTCCGCCACCATTACACCATGCAAGTGCGGGACATGTAAGGCTCTCTGTTTGCGTGTGCGCCGCCGCCAAGGAAGCCCATCCTGAAAGGAGACCTTTGCCTTCTTCTTCTCCTCCTTCTCCTCCTCCTCTTGTTGTCTCTATCCGCCCTTCAACAGGAAGGCTGGCGCTACTCACACGCCCACAACGCCATCCTGGGTCCCTTCGGGGAGCTGATGACCGAGGAGGACTTCCTCTCCTTGGAGAAGCAGATCCAGAACTTGCAAGTCATGCATAAGGTCCAGAAGGTAGAGACGGAGCTGGGGCAACTGGAACAGCAGTTGCAACAACTGCTTCCAGTCTCGGCTGCTTTGGCCAAGGAGCAGCACTTCACCGTCAACCCTAAAAGCCTCCGCGGGCAAGAGGAGGACCTCCCGGCTTGGTGTAGCAAGATATCAGCTCTGCTCAAGAGCATGGCGGTGCTGCTCACCGCGCTGGGCGGAAAGGCGGTCAGCGTGGCCGAGATGGTCACTCCAGAAACGGCGGTTGTGCCATCACCTACGGAGGTGGTCAAGGAGAGCTTGCCCGGCATTGCTCGCTCGCAGTCGTTCAGCTGCAGGCGGCTGCAGGTGGAAAAGGAGATCTCGCAATGCGGTGTCTCGGTGAAGAACCTCAAGGCCAACTACGAGCTGCAGTTACGAGCCCAGGAGTTGGACAACGACGACGCCGAAGCGCGGGTGTATAAACGGAAGCTGTCGCTGCCCGTCGGCACGCTCGGGA